TAAATTATTCGATCAAACGAGTTCATTATCGCGATGAAAAAAAAAGATGGTCAGAGACCATCTTTTTTTATCATAGAATTGTGCTGATTGGCTAAAATTTGATATCCGCATTTCGCAACGTGAATTTTCGACAAAAATTGCCGTAAGGTTTACTTCAATTAATCATAGTACTTGTGCACGATCTCTATAGATAGCTAATTACACTGAGAGAGTTGCTTGAGAGCACTCTGTGCCTGAGCTCAAAATATTGACGTTAACCAACTAATCAACTTTGAATGGCCTAAGTAATCATTAGAAACTCCGACTTTACTGCGGATAATAATAATGAACTAACATAATAATCGCTAGCCAATTTTTGTGAGAGACATCTTAACTCACTAATAATAATGTAATAATGCCATTGTTTCGATATATTCTATTTATGAGTAGTTAATTCTTCAATAAATTAACAAAAATTTACTCAACTTTAACAACTATAAATCAATAAAATTCTATAAACCGAGATTATTATCAAAAAGAGAGAAATAAAAGCTATAAATTAAAATTTATTAAAATAATTCTGTAATTTACTCAATAATGATTAATTTCCAAGATTTCCGAAATCGCTAAAAAAACTAAAAAATCCTTAAATAATAAGTTTTATATATGACCCAGACTATTATTTGATTTAACGATTTTATGAACACCCTAAGGTCACGTAAGGTTCGTCAAACATCTAAAATCAGGAATCTTTTACTTGGTCATCCGGTTCTAAGTCACTCAAGTCCAAACATTTTACTGAATCGCATAAATTTTCAAAACCACCAAAATTATCAGATACTTGCAATTCACATAATTGACTATCTATAAAAAGATAATAAACGATGCTATAATATCGAATAATAAAATAATATATAGCTATTGGATGCGAAGCAGCCAATAATATATAGTTATTGGATGCTTCGCATCCAATAAGTTATAGTTATTTGGCGGGTGAAATGATTATCTTGTGATCCGCAGGATCACAGGATGGTCATTACATATGCCAAATAACGAAAAGTATTTTAATCAATTTAAAGGCTGGGCCCTACGGGGCCCAGCCTTTAATTGATTAAATTCCGATTCAAATATGGCATTATTGGCGCTTCGCATCTAATAACAGTATTATCCGTTAGATGACGACGATCGGGCTTACGTAATTTAAATTAACTATGTAGATTTATAATAAGAAAGCTTAATTTTCTATATAAAGTGAATTGTTTTATAAATTCTATCAATTTTTTTTTCTTATGAAAAAAAATGCTAAAAGAGAAAGCAACATCTAAAAAAGCAAAAGCAGTATCTAATCAAAAATATACTAAACTAAGTGATGCTGAGATCAATACAATTATTAAAGGTACAATTCTAGAAAAACCCATAAGGCAACTGCAAAATGGGTTAAAATCTTAGAAAATTGGCATAATAATGTTGGATACAGTTATCAAGTAGAAACAATTGAGGATAAAGAGCAATTAGAATATGAACTGATTGAATTTATTATTGAAATAAGTCTTTATATTTTAAAACATCTACATGGAAATCAAAATTTTAATATTGCAAATTAAAAGAAATTTTATCGTTTATGGGATGCACTTAATGGAAAATGAAGAAACTTAAAAAAGATAGAATAGTATTACATCATCATAATTATTTGAATGATAATGAATTAAAACTTATATTTCAACATAAAAATATTGTAAACAATATACCTCAAGGTTTATTATATCAAATCTTTATGTGATACTGTTTATTGTTCCAGCCACAAGGTGGAGAATATTACAAGTAATAAATTTCACAATTTGTTTTTATAGAAAATTATGGTATTAATTTTTTTAAATATTCTCAAAAAAAAGATCAAGGTAGTGTTGATGAAAATTCTGATGCATTAATGATACCAGTTTTACCTAATCAGAAGGTTATTGTAATCCTATACATGATTTTAAAATTTATTTTTCAAAAAGGCCAATAGGTTCTAAGTGTTCTTTTTTTATCTACAAATTAATATGAAAGCTAAAGGTAAATAAATATTATATAATTTTTTTTAAAAAAAAAATACTTATTGATTTTTTTAGATCTTTCAAAAGATTCATGGTATCTTGATTTATGTTTAGATGATAAAACTTGCTAATCATTAATGAAAACAATTTTTTTTTTTCACTTAGGCAAGGTCATGCCAGAGATTTCTGTTTATTAAAGCTCTTCTTGTGAAAGATGTAATACAATAAAACTTTGACCCTTACATCCTGCAGTTACCTTGTATAAC